TCCTCCCCCCACCCGCCAAAAAAAAAAAAATCACGTGTCTCAAGCTGCTGAGCCTTTAAGAATAAAAAAAAATGCAGCCGACATCACAAGATTCACAATAAATATTATGGAAGCTGGCAGCACTGGACAGTAGTAATAAAATTTGCAAAACCATTCCTTTGACTAAGAAAAACAATTACAAGAAAATATTTCTCCCCAAGTGGCCTGTATCTTAAATTTGTGCTAAAAACTTTAAAATAAAAAAACCCTCCTAAATGTACCACAGATGTTGGATCCTTGTAAATGTGTCTTATTTGGTGTTTTTTCTTCTTCTTCTTCAATTGAGAATCTGAAAATTTGGGTGCATCTTAAATTCAAGGGCATCATCTATTCAAAGGAATACAGTAAATGGTTTAAGTGCCTAATTCTCTTGGACCCAAGGCAGGGGTCAGCAATTTGTGGCCCACAGGCTAGATCCAGCCTCTGGAACTATCTGATCCAGGCCATACACATGGGGCTTCAGAGGCAGGGGGGCTTCAGCAGCTGTCGCTTTCCCATCCCACACACCTAAGGCTATATCTACACTAGAACATTTAGGGCAGTTAAGAGGAAACACCTCAAGGTCTGAAGTCAATGACCATAAAACAAAGGATGTAAGGAAGCACAGTTTGTGCTGGGAAGCCTGTCTAACCTCTCTTAACTGAACAGTTAGTCCAATAAAAGATATTGCCAAAAAATCCTTGCCTCTCATAACATAAAAGCACAATAAACCTCTGGGTGGAGGCTCTCATTAGCACCAACAGTTACCTTTGCTTGCTACAGCTTCCTTGGAATCAAAGATTCAGAAACTGAAGGCCTCTAACTCCTGATCAAAAGCCTCCACACCGAGTTATCACATTTCAATATATGTACATTGATGTCACCCTGTAGTTGATTGGCCCTAACTGTCCGGAGTCCCCTAAAAACCAGTGGATTTTAAGCTTGAAAATGTCAGATGTTCAAAAATACAGAGGCAGACAGTCTTCTGAAAATCCCACAAGGCACCTATCTGCTTCCTCAGTTACCTAAATACCTTTAAAAATCTGGCCTTGCAACCTTTTTTAAATTGGGATTCTTACTCCCAAACCATTTATGAGCTTTTGAAAATTTTAGCCCTTCATCTTCTCACTTTAAATGTCCAGTCATGAAATTTGTTATTAGCTAAACAGAAAAAAATTAAATGAAATGATGATTAATTAATAAGTCTTCTTCTTGGAACATGCCTAATGCCATAAAAGGGGCTGTGCTGTATATCTCATTTTGGATGTTGTTGTCCTTAATAAAAAAATACAAAGAAAAAGAACCATAGTGCCTCTTACCTCTTCAAGTTTTTCCACTCGGCCTATCAACTTTGTTGTGACTGAGTGCAGCTTGAGTAGGTCTAAGCCATAGAAAGCATTTTCTAGCATCTCTATGATGGAGGAGAGCTATAAAACAAAAGACAGCATAGAGTTAGTCAAGTCAAGATGGCATTTACCTTTCTCTACTAGTTTAAGAGCAGGCACACCAGTTTGGTTGGAAGATGAAATTTTCCATTTCTGCAGCCAGGAGAATTTTAGTTCAAGAAACCATGTGCAGGTCTGAGTAGAGAGTTTTAGATACTTATGTAAATAAAAATAGCATGTTCATTCACACTAACACCACAGTCAGAAGATGCTGTAAGGATATACACTGATATCTAGTTGGCACTGGAAGGTTTAAAAAATTATTCCCATCAACAGAATGATATTACATAGTTGGGTGCTTGACAGTTTGAATGGTTAAATCCTTTTTCTAGCATCTACCACTGATCGATATTCAAGAAAGGTCCTTAAACAAAGAGGACCATTGTTCAGTTCTTGTGTGGCTATTATTCCTAGTAGAAAAAAACCCAAACAAACCTAAAATCAAGACAAAGATGTGGATACAGTGATGTATGAATAATGAAACTGCATCAGCTGTGGTTTTGAAGTGTTCTCCTACACATTAGGGAAGATGGTGCAGCTATTGCCAAGGGAACCTTCTGCTTCTATCTGGACACACCAAGAAAATAAGCTGGCTCATGGCTTTCCAGAACTTCTAGTCCCAGCTACAACCCAGCAGCGTACAGTTCCACAGGATGAAAGAGATACATAAACTGCCACAGAACTTGAAGAAGGTCAGGAACAAGTTGTGGATGGTAGAAATCATTCATGGGACAAGCACAACACTGCATTCAGCTCCATACACAACCTGTCCACACACCCAGGATGTGCCAGATAACCACCTGTGAATATGGTCAGCAGCCAACAAGGTGGACACTAAATGAAATTCAATCCCCATGCAGTAGTGCTGTGATATGGAGGAAACCAGCTCCATAGATGAGGAAACCCCAATAGATATATATTTAAATATTTCATTTCAACAGGCAGGGATTGTGATTCACCATTCCTTCCTTCCTACTGGAAGTGCTACATCACCTGCTGTTAACTGTTCTATGATCCTGAGAGTCGGTACTAGACATCTAGGATTCACACAGCAATATCCCTTCATCGTCTATCTCAAGTTTGCTCCAAGCAAAGTTGGCTTCAATTTTCAGACAGGTGCTGTATATCAAAAATGTCTTTGATTAAAAAATTATGAGCTTCAACCATCCTGAGGATAAATACCAGCTTCCCTGTTGAGACTTGTGCGTGTATTTATAAAGCAGTCATTTAGAAGAACTATGTGACTTCATCTCTCCTCCATAAAATTCTGCAGCTAATTAAGTGAAAAGCATTTATGAGATTACACTCCTAAACAAGAATCTTGGACTCTTTCTGGTCACTCTTCTCAAGGATCACTTAAGCCTTCTAACTCACTACAAGGCTCAGAATAAAAGGGGTACAAGGAAATGCAGGTTGCATCACTCACCGTCTCTACAAAACTGGGCACAGCTCACCCATTATGACTGTTACCAATGATATTACTGTCAAGCTACATGCATTTCTTATGAAGCCTGCCTGTTGGACAGCTACAGTATTCCAGTCTCTGCTATGGATCAGTTCCAGCCCATCTCTCATTATTCAGAGACCATCAGAATAATGACAGGGAGCATCAGATCCACTCATAGGTACATAAAAAGGGGGGGTATGCGCACACGTCTGCGTCTGTGGCTGACAGGTGATTAACCCTGGATTCGCTTGTCATGGCCACAGCACCTGCCAGGGAGGTCTGAGTCATGAGTGAAAAGTTTCCACTGAACATTTGAGGCTACATCACCTCAGCTACATCTTGTCCCACTGGCGTTTTGTCTGCCATCTGGACCCATGGGTTTGTGTGCAGTACTGCATGCAACTACCAGCACCGCAACAAATGATGGAGCACCAGTGGAGGGTGCCCACAATAGCTGCTCCCCACCCTGTTCAGTGGGTGCTATGTTGCCCTTGCAGCCAAACATCTGTCAACCCCAGGTGATCCTCCTTTACTCTGCCAGCTAACTAAGCACCCCTCTGCCTATCACCAACCCCCCTTCAGCTCCTACGAGGGTGGCTATCATAGAGGACATTCTGGTTTTCTGCTACTCTGTCCTCTACTGAATACAAAACTGACAGCTTATGTCCTCTATTTTTCTGAAAAACAGAGAACATAAAGACATTGCTTTTCAAACAATAGAGGACAGAAGACAACCGGACTGTCCTCTATGATAACCACCCTAGCTCCTACACCATATCTCCTCCTCAGAAGTGTTCCACAGCCAATAATCCCTGTCCTTCATTCTCCAGCTCATTCCTACTGTACAGTATCACCCCATCACGGTTCATGCCCCATGACACTACTGTGCAGTACTAAAGAGCTACTGCGCAGTATGTATCTTGTGTAGATGCGGCCACTGGTTCAAATCTGCACTTTATCAATACTTGTTTATCCTAAATGCTCTTGAGAAGTTGTTTATCTTGAAATGAACTGGTGGTCTCCTGTGTTAATGGGCTGGGACCTCTGTAACAAGTAAACACTGATCCCATACCTAGAGTTTAGATGTAGTTGGAAGGTGCACAAACTAGACTGGACATTCCCTTCCAAACTACGTTCTCTGCACTAGTGCAGACCTGTTGTATTTAGGTTCCTACATTTTCTTTGATTCTCATTCCCAGGGGGCTATACTCTTCAAGTATGAGCTTCAAGTTTCAACCTCCAAAGCAAACTTCAGTCAGAACTGCTGCATTTCACCTAGTTTCACAGAAGCAGCAGAAATTGCCAGTTTCACTCAAGAGGTTTACGAACTACCACTTTTTTGTGAATAATTTAGGCTGAGGTTTTGAATGTGTAATGAACACCTGAAGTCAGAAGCATTGGGTAAGGTTTCGGTTTTCTGTAATAAAGTATGTATATAAAGCTCAGCCTGAGTCCCTCAGAAACTTAAACTCCATTGCAAAGCTGCATCTTAAAAGGGTTAATGCAACCATTAGATATATAAATACGAAGAAGTAAGAAAGTTATCTTATTTCTGCATATATTGGGTACAGCTCTGACATCCACATTTTTAAAAAGATGTTGAAAACTTGGAAAGTATGCAGAGAAGAGCCACAAAAGTAATTTGAGTGCTGGGGGAGAGAAGGGAGACAGAGGAGGCCTGACAGTAAGGAACTCAAAAGAGATCAATCTGTTCAACCTATCAAAAGGAAGATCAAAAGATGAACTGATTGTGGAGTATAAATATCTTTCCAGAGAGAAAACCCAGAACACCAAAGAGCTTTTTAATCTAGCAGGGAAATGCATAACAAGAACCAATGGGAGTTAAAGCCACACAAGTTCAAAATTAGAAATAAGGCACAGTTTTTTAGACACTGAAAGCTACAAACTGCCAAGAGAAGCAGTGTCTTCAGATCAAGACCATATGCTTCTCTGAAAGAGATGTCCGAGCCAAACCCAGAGGATCCCTCTTAGCCTTAACACCTATGAATCTGTGAATTATTTCCCAAGATAAACATTAAAAAAAAAAATAGAACTGCATGTCTTTACACTTCCTTGGCCTCAGCTCAGGCAAAAAAAAAAAAGGGGGAAAAGGACAAAATAATTAAAATAATAAGACAATCAGTGAAGGTAAATTTCCCTGGCAAGCCTGACACTAGGAAATACTGCCATTGAGTGAGAAATCTTGATCTCACAACTCCTGCAGCTCGATTCCTCCAGTTAAAAAAAAGTTTTGGATAAACTTTGTGAAATGACTGGATTTGGATCCTGGTGCAATGAGCTGGCAGACTTCATTCCAGTTCCTAGATGACAAGAATCCACACCACAGCTGGCAGCAGTCATTTCCCTTGAGGGAAGCCTCGGCAGAGGCCAAGCGCTGACCTAGCCATGGAGACTGAACTCCTCCTCCTAGAGGCAGGCAGGATTTGAGGACACAGGATATAGGCAGGCAAGGAACTTAGGACAGAAACTCACACTGCTGTTGCCTGTCCTATACTTATTTGTGGATACAGAAGACTTTAGCATCCGAGTCTGTCATTCTAGTCCAAGACAAACAAATTGAGAAAACTAAATAGGAGAATGCTGTTTTTGCATAAGGATGCACTGATTCTCTGGGCAAAATCCTTTGAGTGGTGGCTGTGAACACCGAAAGGAGCCTTCCCTGGCACCGAGTCACCATGCAAAACCAAACACATACCATGCCATGAACAGTCGTGTAACAATCTACCCATGCACAATTCTTACTCTATAGACACCTTCCATAGTACCAGCTCCTCAGAGAATAGTCTTCCTGCTAGACCAGGCAATGAACAGGAAAACTAAGCAAAATTTAGCTCAAGTGGCAGATCCAGTAGCACTGGATACTGGATGCAAAGCCAGTCTAATTCAGAACCGGCACCAAGCTATTTGGAATGGAAAAAACAAAAGTGGTTCTACTCATCACAGAAGTACAAGATGGTGGTGCTGAGATGTTTTTGCCATAATGGTCCTGGAGGTAAGTGAAAGGCAAGAATGCTTGTGAGTGATGTCTTGTATTAGACCAACTGTATGGCTGTCATAGACATACTTCCTCAGGCCTCTAAGTACAAGATGGAAGAGACCTTCAGACTTGGGAAGTTATGTAGCTCATCCTCAACCTAGACCAAGATTCTTCACTTTAATAATACTCTTATACATATGTGTTATACTGTTTTTTTCCCACAGAGGAGCCCAACATACTTAACAGGCCCTCTGCCTGGATCAGTCTCTCTACTAGCAGTGAAACACAACAGCCAGTTAACAGAGCAAAGTGACCTACCTGTTCACACACTCACTTGCAACAAGTTGCAAATCATGGAATGTAGCAACCTATTAAAGTCTGTTAGGAGATAACCCTCTACTCAAAGGGAATGACTGCCACACCACAAGGGCACTCAACACATGCTAAATGGCTTGAACATACATCTGCTTGCATGTTAACCACGCTTCATGTTAAGTTGAGTGTGTGACACCACTAGCCAGTATTTCTTGATAATATGACAAATACATCCATGTCTTTAATTCAGCCCTTTCCCACACATAAGTGAGAATTGTAAGCACTTGGAGCACCAGAGGAAACAGACTGAACTAAGGAACAAGGGTCAGCATTCCCAGTAAATCAGCTGTAGTCTGCTCATTAAAATCACTCCCATAAAGCTGTGCTGAGCAGGATTTCTGTATAAACCATTCTGACACAAAAGCTGATAAGAGAAAATTAAGTTATAAAAAAGAAGCATTACTTAATTGCAGTACAAAAATCAGAAAGAAGAAACTACCAATGTCATGGGTAACTGGTGCCTCCTGAGACTTGGAGGGCACAGTTTGTGGGTGGCAGAAGTGGGGTGGCAAGTGGTGACCACCTGCAGAAGCCAGCAGCAGGGTGGCGAGCGGCGACCACCTGCAGAAGCTGGCATTGGCATTGGCACAGCGAGCGGCAACTGCCTGCAGAAGCTGGCAACAGCCGCCAATCTTGGGGGGGCCTACCCCCCGCCCACCATACTCCCCCTCTACCAGTCGCCTATAACCAGCCTGAAAGAGGGTACAGCATCTGCTGTGGACACAATATACTTTCAGGGCAACATTCACTTCTCCGATTTACACTCTACATTGTAGATATATATATTTCACCCCACTCTGCATACACCTTATCTCCTAATGTCAGTATGTAGCACCATACTGAGTAAGTACAAGTCAGGCTGGGGAGATGTAGTCTGTGGATCAAAATTATAGAGACATTGCAAAGAAAAATGAAACTTTTCAGTTGTCTGTGAATATTTTAACATGTGCTGGCAGGTGGCAGCAATTTTCTGTATACAGACAGGGCTTTTGAACATTACCATAATCAAGGCTCATCTTTTGACACAGAATTGTCACCACTAGTTTTACCAGGGAAGGCAACCTAGCTAGCTAGGTGTTTATATCACAAATCAAGTTCTCCTCCAGGGGCCAGGCCAACCCGCTTTTAATTGCACACTGTCCTTCATGGAACTTGCTACCACTAATAAATAGGAGTCAGAAAATGAACTCTGCTGATACCTTGAGATCACTGCTTTCTGCTTCTCGGAGCTTCTTCAATCTGAAATCCCCCTCGCAAGGATTCAGAGCAGAAGGTGGAGCCACGCAGGCACACTTGCAGTCAGGTCCTGAAGTGATGGTTTCCACGGTATAGAAATCCTCTGCTTTGAAAGTGCCTTCATTAATCCTTTGGCATGCCCCACGGCCCAGAGGTCTGACCACACACTTACACTGACAGTTTGAGCCTTCAGAGACGGCCTTCACCTTGTCATAGTCACCTAGCAACTGATCACAAAAAAAATAAAATAAAAGCTGTAAAGTGTCAGTTTGTGTCTACACCAAGGTTTTACTTTTTGTTTTTTCTTTGCTCTTTGTTCTGTGAAGTTTCTGAGAAAAAGGCTCAAGGACTCCAAACCTTTGAAAAATAGGTCACTGCTTACACTAATTGCTGACTCTATGTGTTTGCTTGGCTTTCTGCTCTTCAGCAATTTGAGAAAGATGGATTTCTGATGGGGTGTTTTTCTTTCACTTGTTCAGTCTCAAACTACTCTTATCTACAAAGTGCTGGGCAAAATTAAATTTAAACAGAGGGACAAACCTACCACAGTATATTTTAAATACACCAGTCCTATCAGATAAGAGTTTACCCACTGCTATCTCCTACAAGATTCATTATAAACAGGGGGGGGTTCGAGATTAAGGGGTTAAATGATGTTGTGTGATAAGATATAAATGTAAGGCACTTTCTGGCTGGTAAAATGTAATTTCTAATAACCTTGTACAATTCCAAGAATTTCCTTTATGGAGATTCATAGACATCAATCCTGAAATTGAAGCACAAAAATAACTTGGCGGCGTGTTTTCAATATCCGTGTGTGCTGGACATTTCCATGGATAGATACATTCCTCTGTACATCTGCCAAATGTAATAGAGAACACAGCCCTGAACTCCTGCTGCTTTCATTCAGACGGCATATTCCTGCATCCCAGTCGATCCTGTGACACGCTCCATTCATAATTCCCTATACAGTTCCCTGGTCACTTGGGGAGTTAGGGGATTACTAGTTAATTGCACACTAACAAAAGGATGAACATGAATAACTAATTTTCCAACTAGTCATTATAGTGGGATTTATGCTTTGCCAATCCCTTGATCATCGATAAACAGGGAAAAAATAGCCTACCATAAAACTTTCCCATAAATAAACCTGCCCCCCAAAGCAGTTCAGATGGCTAAAGCCACACGTGCTCTTTTGCCACCTCTCTGTCACTGAAGCTTCTTCACCTCAGAGCAGGGAGGGACTGAATGGGGACACAAGTCCTACCAGACAGTGATTCTCAACCGGGATCCCACAACACCCTGGGGTACCACAAATCTTTTAAGGATGCCACACAATGTTAGCACTGTTAGGTGTACCAACACCTACACGATTCACAGCATTAAACTCTGTGAACACAAACAGGAATCCTGAGTGTCACTAGCATTGTGACCTGCTGTGAGCTTTCTACGTCCTTTGCAACCAAAGAATTGCTCTGTTATTCTTCCCTATAGTATAAGATTATTAGAAAATATATTTTACTAACCAAGATATGGGTTACATTTATGTCTGATCCCACAGCATCACTTAACCCCCTTAACTTCTAAGAACCCCATGTACAATGAATCTTGCAGGAAGCGAAGAGTTCAATGGATTAAACTCTTATCTGATAGGATCAATGTATTTAAAATATACTGGCATTTTCCAAGGGTGACCTTTGAGTATCAGAACATAGGAAGAGCCATTCACTGGGGTAGCCCCCAGGTCCATCTTGCCCAGTCTCCTGTGTCACAAGGGGACAGAGAGCAGATGCTGAAAGGGAGAGTGAACTGGGTCTGACCAGGGTTTTTCCCATGCCCACTGTTCCTGTCTCACTTGCAGCCTCCAGCATTTAAGGTCTAGGAAATTCTGATTCAGAGGCTCCTATCCCCAGTGTCACAAGCATCCTGACCTGCTGTGGGCTTTCCTTCCATGTTCTTCACAACTGAAGAATCACTCTGTTATTTTTCCCCACAGTACGAAATTATTAGAAGCTATATTTTACATGCCAGTATGTGGGTTACATTTATATCTTGTCCCACAGCATCCCTTAGCCCCTTAATTTCTAAGTACCCCATTTATAATGCTCAACAGCTACTGATGCACCAGTCCTCCAAGAATGTGTCTAATCCCTCTTTTTTTTAGTCTGGCTAAGCTGCCAGCTTCCATGGCATCTGCTGGCACCAAGTTCCACCCTTGAATGACATGCCGTGTGAAAAGAAAACATAGAACAAAACACAAAAAACTTCCTTTCATCTGTTTCAAACCTACAGCCCTCTCGTTTCACAACGTGACCCCTAGTTCTCATCTTCCTAGAGCGGAAATCAAATCCCTACCGACTTTCTCTTTGCCGTTCCAAACAGGCATCCCTAGTGCCAAGTGTTCAGACCTGCTGCCGGCTTTCTAGGTACTTTGCAACCGAAGAACTGCTCTGTTAGTTTGTCCCCGTTGTTTGAGACTATTAGACATTATATTTTATCAGCCAGGATACAGGCTATATTTACAGCTTATCCCACAACATCATTTAACCCCTTAGTTTCTAAGAACCTCATTTCTCATGACACAAACAGGCATCCCTAATGTCGCGTATCCTGCCCTGCTGCGGGCTTTCTAGGATCTTCACAACCAGAGAATCGCTCTGTTATTTTCCCCCGTAGTACAAGACTGTTTGAAATGACTACCAGCCAGGATGCAGGTTACATTTATATCTGATGCCATGGCATCCCTTAACCCCTTACTTTCTAAAAACTGCACTGATAACGCTCAGCAGCTACCGATGTGTCCTCCAAGGGCACATCCAATCCTTTTGAAGTCTGGCTAAAGAGCCAGCTTCTGCAGCACCTGATGGCCCCGAGTGCCACCCCTGAATGACACGCTTTCCTAGGGCCTCCTCGTTTCAGGGCCTGACCCTCATCTCGTCTTGTGAGAGCGGGGCAACAGGAAATCCCTCCTGGCTTTCTCTCCGCCGTTCCGAGCAGGCACCCGGAGTGCCAGGCACAGTGCCCGGTGCTGCGGGCCTGCTGGCTTCACGCCACCCACGAGCCCACGGGGGAAAGTGAAGGGCTGGTGTTTTCCGAGGGGTCCCAGCAGCCCGAGTCCTGCCGTGGCAGGCGAGAGCGGTGACGCCAGGGCGGCCCGTACCTGGGACAGGATGTTCTCCTGGTTGTCCGCCTCGTTTTGCAGCGGCTCATCCTCGGTGACTGCCTCGGGCGGCGCGGTCGCGGTCGCGGGCCCGCTGGGCCCGGCCGGGGGGGCGGCGGTCGGGGGC